TTAGAGCAGTGGTTCTTAACCTTTTTATACTCGTGGCCCACCAAATATTTCATAATTTTTTTGTGATCCCCATTTTTTAAAATAATAATTTATATTTGTTAAATTATCTATAATAACTTGATTTTTTTATTATTGCTTTATTTTTAAAATTCCAAGCATTAATAGTTTCTTAGAATTACTTTGAAATAAAAGAAGTAAATACTGTGGTGTAAGCAGCATATTTGCATTTATTTCTTCTGTACTAACAAAGTTGTATGTAGGAAGAAATAAGAAATAAATAAAAAAAATAAATATGAAAACTTTATCTTTCTTATTTTACTTTTCAATACGATATTCGGTTATACATCAATTTTCTTTTTATTATATTTGAAGGAAATTTTGCATAATTTGGTGGCCCCCAGCAAACTTCTTATGGACCCCCAGAGGGCCGCAGCTCCTGTTAAGAAACACTGCTTTACAGGATGCACTTGAGGTGGTGTCTATTAACATGTTTGACATTCATTTGCCAAGAGTGGGAGGAATGCATGCGCATTCAATTAAGTAGCACTACATAGATAATATTCCATGAATTATAAATAAGAGCATAATAAAATGAGCTCTTGGTAAGGAAAATTTTGAATCATCCTATAAAATATTCAGTATTTTTCATTTATCATCATCAACCTATGAAAATAATATTTTAAACTTTAATTTCAAAATACATTTCACATTAATGAAAAATTTTTATTTTTTGTGACTTATAATAATTGTTTCTAATATTGACTGTTATGTCTTAAAAAGATGAAAATGAAAATTTGTTTTTGTGATTTTATAATTTTCTAAATCAGAAATAAAAAATATATAATGTGTTCAATATGATATAAAGGACCAATATAAAATCATATTTTATACTCATTTGTTTTGCTTTTTTAAAAATATAAACTTACGTTGATTTTCATTGAAGTGATTTTTTTATTTCTTTCTTTATACAGCCATGATATATATGTTTGTCTGTTCCTTCTAATGACACTTCTCTCCTATTAAAGTTATAAATATAATATGAGCAGAATGCATTTATATATTAACTTCTAAATAGAAGGATTTTCTAAATAAGGTTCATTATTAATAAGAAGAAAAATACTGTAAATATCATTAAAATATATTTTTTCCCATATTATACATACTTTTATCAACTTTTCTACATAATTTCCATTTTTTGTTCAAACATTTGTCATACCGCTCAACAATTTTTTGAATTACGACTTCAAAGAAATCTGCCGCCTGTGAAAAAGCTGAATCGATGACTACAGCTTTCAGTTCTTCATTGTTGTTGAACCGTTGACCACCAAAAAACTCCTTTAAGTATTGAAACAAGTGAAAATCACTGGGTGCAAGGTCTGGACTGTAAGTTGGATGATCCAGTTGTTCCCATCCAAAAGAACTGATTAGACCTTGTGTTTGTGCAGAAACTTATGGCCTTGCATTGTCATGGAGCAATATCACACTGGAAGACAGTAGACCACCCGGCTTGTTTTGTATGGCACACTGGAATTTTCTCAAAATCACACAATATGTGTCAGAATTGATTGTTGTCTCTCTCAGCATAAAATCCACCAACAAAATCCCTTTCCCAAAAGACAGTTGCCATAATTTTCCATGCTGAAATGGACTGTTTGGTTGGCAAAGATGTGTGTCACCATTCCATTGACTGTTGCTTGGACTCAGGAGTCATGTGAGACACCCAAGTATCATCTCCTATAATGATGCGGTCCAACAATTCATCTCCTTCCTGATTGTAACGAGGCAAAAATTATAAAGCACTGCCCAATCTTTTTGTTTTGTGATTGTCAGAAAGCAGTCTTGGAACCCACCGAGAACACAGTTTTTGATAATTCAGTTTCTCCGAGACAATGGTATACAAAACTGATCTTGAAGCCTGTGGAAATTCAATCAGTAACATTGAAATTATGAATCATCGGTCCTCTCAAATTTTGTTATCCACATCACAATCCAAATCTTCAGAAATCAGAGAAGGTTGGCTAGGGCGTGGCTTATCATGCACATTAACCTGCCTGTCCTTGATCATTCTCACCCACTTTCGAACTTTACTGTCACTCATAGCATTATCACCATAAACTTCACAAATCTGACGGTGAATTTCCGCTGCTGCCAAGTTTCTTGCACTCAAGAATCGAATAACAGATCTTATCTCACAGTCAGTGGGTGACTTAATTTTATTAAACATTATAAACTTTTACAGCTCAGCACACAGGCAGATGACACAGCTGCAAATGGTGTCTAAACGTGCGTAAAGCATGCTTGGAGCAGACGCACCTACACACTGCCGCAATCGTGTGTCATTCTCACTCTCATTCACAAACAGACCTTATTTAAAAAATATCCCTTGTATTTCATTAAAATATAGAAATTTCATAAATTAATCTGCTTAAAAGGAAATTCAAATTTTTTTTCTTTATTCTACAATTTTTATTTACTTAAATTTTTCAGGATGATATTAAAAATTAAAACAAAGACTATTATTATTACTTTGTTTTTATATTATTTTATATGACCATTAAATTCTTATCGTTTTAGATGTGGCTTTTTTTTTATCTATTAGAAATTCCCATAATTTTTTAATATGAGTAAGAAAATAATTATAAATTATTTTTTTAAATATATTTTTTGTATGACCATATGAACCCACTTTAAAATATCAATGATTTTCAACTTTTATTTGTAGTGACTTATCTTGTTTTTTTTGGTCATACAGAAAGTGATAAAGTAAAATAGAAGATCAAATAATAGAAAGAATTCATTGATCTTTTAAAATGCTTGCATTTTAAATTATACTACTGGAGCTTAAAGTTTGTATATTTGTAGTATGATAGTCTGTTTCAAAATGATAGGTACATAAAAAACATATGGAAATAATGTATGAATATTTATTATAATCCTATATTGCAAAAATCCTCAATTACAGATAATCATTCTCATTCTTTTATCTTACCAAGTAAATAAAACCAGAATGAGAATGAATATCTTTTATGATTTTATGATACTTTGTATTTTATGATACAAAGCTTACTGATTGAATATCTATTGTTCAATAATTTCAGCAATGTGTAATAAACGGTGTTAACTTTTTGCAATTATAACATAACAATAAATCATAAAATAAAATTAAAACTGAAAAGATTCTAATTTTTAAAATGTAATCAATAATACAATATAGTAGTATGTTGAGATTATATATAATGTAAATATGAAACTTACTCAAATAAAATCATCCATCGTTAAAAATAAAATGAGATCAAAAATACTTAATGTTAACTCAAAAGAGTAATTAAAAAGAATTTTCCTCATTTTATTTAATAATATAAATTTTAAAATTATTTGTTACAGTAAAATATTTGAACTCTGATTATTAAATTGCTTAATAAATATCCTGAAAACGGTTTCAATTATGTAAATTTGTAGTTATATTAATTTATTTCATTATTAGTACAGACATTGTTTTAAAATATGTAAGAAAGAAAGTAAAAAATAGTAATATTACAAGATTGATTATGATATGATCAAGATACAGATAAAAGGATAAATATGAAATTCGTAAATGAGCAGTTATTTATTATGAAATTGTCACAATGCTGGACTGCAGTTTTTTTTTCATAATGCACAAGTTTAATACTATCTAGTCCCTGTACATCATACTTTTCCTATTAACAATGAAGTCATGCCAGTCATCTATCTAACTCAGGAGAAAATTTTTGGATTGAAATAATGTGATTTCTAGCCTCAAGCAGAAGTTTGCATATAGTTAATTCCTACTTCTAAACTTTCCATACTTTCATCTATCACTGTTCTCAAGATTAAGAAAGGACAGATAAACAGATGGACGACTGGGAATTTATAGGTGTACAGTTTTTTCAAATTGCAGCCCAATAAAATTGTCATCATACAGAACTTCTGCTTAAACTGCCTGAGATAGCAAACCAGCAGCATTTTCCTGTGTGTCACAGATTGATATTATATTTGAATCAAATTGTTCATATGAGAATGCTGCTGTAAGAATAAGACATGATATAGTATGAAAGAAATGATTCATATGTAATTAGGAAAAAGACAAAATATATAAGCATGCTCAATACTCTACTCCTTCAGAGTTTTTACTTTATAAAAGTTATCATCAAAAGATCTTTCTGCACTTGCTAAGACTTTGATCCATGGCCACTGTTTTGAGAAGCATTGCTTTATTCTTTATGATAAAAGCCACAGTTAACAAAATTTTAGAAAACAACTTAAGTTAAATGATGTGCAAAGAATTTTTTTCAAGTTTAAATAAATCTTTATCTAATACTAAAGTCACTATCAGATATAACAACCTCACAGCAAGAATGATCCATGTCAGTAAATTCTAATTTTGTGATAAGTAGCAAAAAACTTTACACAATATTTTCCATATTTTCTTCTTTTGTTTATTTCTTTCTAGGCCTGGTATGTAACAGCAAATTTGACTTGACTCTGTATTGCATTAGATAACTTAGACACCAAAAACTTGATTTGGATCACTCTTGCCCTGAGGTTGCCATACAGTATATTCTACAAAATCTCAAAATCTAGTAGTTAAGATAAATCTTTTTATAAATGAATCAACAGAATGATCAGATTACTATATGTTAATCATTTGAAATAAATTAGGGCAACAACACAAAAACATTGGCTAAATTTAAAGTGACAGCAGGCTCATAATACCAAAAATGAGCAAAAAAGTAAAAAATTCACATTAGTAAATATTTTCTTCCATATTTAATGATCATCATCAGGTGTTCTTGTTCAATACATTTGAACACATGTTTGTAATTTTCAGTAACAGCCTGATGATGACCATTAAAACATAGAAGAAAACATTTGCTAATATGAGAGTTTTTACTTTTCTGTGGATTTTTGGTATTATGAGCCTGTTGTTACTTTAAATAAATTTTAAAATAATATTAACTCTCAAGATTTAATGGTATGCAAAGAGTTAAATTCAACCCTGACATCTCAAGTTCATTTCATTACTTAAAATTGGCTTAACTACCCAGCCTTTCTTAGGAATGTTCTGTTTTTTGTGACAAATTTCACAGTTCAAGTAAATTATGATCCTATCTCATATTCCTTGTAATATTTTTATATTTCATACATAATTCTTTTTCCATACACCATGGTCAATAGCAATATGGTCATCATACAATATCTGAAATATTTCTTCAGTGTGAACATAACGTTTAATCAAATTACCTTCTTTTACAGGCAGAATTAATTTTTCTATTTCTCTGATAGATACATCACATCTATGTAAACACTGATATTCTTATGGTAACTTCAAAGTCACTGATTTTTGTATCATTGTCAAATACACTGATTTTTGTAAAAATTTGACTGTTTTGATCTTTTACTGCATTAACTCATTTAATCAGTTGTTGAAGCAGTCATTCATATCTCTTAATGATTGCTCTATGATTGTACCGTTTTCATAGAAGAAAACAGTATTTTAAGAGGCAAAGGTAAAATTAAAATGTTACACAAGATTGAGTACTGGTCACATAAATTTAAAATTTGATACTAAATGCAATATGCATGTGCAACACAGACACGAGTGCTGATTGGCTATTGTATATCTAAGATGACCAATCGTCCTCCTTTAATGAGGACAGTCCTTTTGTAAGTTCTGTCCTCTGTCGAAAATTGTCCTCCTACATGTCATCCTTTTCAATATTTGAAGACTAATCTGTAAATCTCCATATTTGATCGATGCCAAGCCGATTCTTTGTGTGATGTGATGGACGTGTTTGTATTTGATATGACTATTCATCAAGGCATGGTACAGTGCGATGAGATGCGATTATCAGATGCATGCATTCCGCATGGGAGACCTTGAGAGATCACACTGCACACAAGTTTACTTCTTACCAAAACACAACATGGCACATACGCATACAGTAGATTATTATAGTGTATTATTGTTGCAATGAATAAAATGTTTTTTTTCTTCAATTTATTTCTGTCCACCTTTTCATTGTAGAAAGTTGGTCACCTTAGTGTATTGGTTGATCACTCTCAAGGTATTATCATCACTTTGCCTGACCAGGTGATAACAGTATTCATAGTGACTGATCAATCTGATAAATTATGATAAAAAACCTGAAATTTATTACAGTGCCTGATTTTGTTTGTCATTATTCATAATGCCCATGTTAATCACTTAGTCCATAACATACAGTATATAACAGAGGGAAAGTATGGTGATTGCCGAAAAAAATGACTCCCTAAGACTTTTACATTTTTACACTAAGACTTTGAAACATTGGTATTTGCAAAACAATTTGGTTGTTTTTCCATTTGTATGTATGTATGTATGTATGGATATGTGTCTGAATGGAGCATGATTTTGTTTACCCTCTNTTTCGTATCCTGAGGTACCACTGTATAATTGATCTGTTGTTTTTGTATAGCAGAAAAATTATATTTGTATATGGAAATTATGAATATTGTATGGTATTTTCTAAATTAAAATTTGTTTTAAATTACATTTTGAAGAATTTTTAAGTTGAGAAACATTTACAGAGTTACATATGTTTAAGTAATTGATCAGTATTAAAATAATATATGAATTTCATCAATGCTGGATGAAAGTTTAACACATTTAGACAAATAAAATTTGTTTCTGTAAATTTTTTTCAATTTTAATGATTTGATCTAAATTTACTAAATTGATTCATCAAAATTGATAACATTTACTTTGCCATTTTATAATAATTAAAAATATAAAAAGTTTTTAATAATAAATTATCATAACAGATGGTGCCATCAAAATATTAAGTGTTACTGGGAAAGTTAAGCAACTTGTTGCTGGATTTTTTATGTTTGACTTATGACTAGAATCTTTCCCAAGATAAGAAGTGTCATAAGTCATGGCTACCTATGTTAGTTTTCATTATTCATATTTATCAAGTCCATTGGTTACAAAGTGGAATTGCTCAAAACAACTAAAGTTTGCAATTTCTGAAAAATTTCTATGTAATTTTTAAGAAAACTATATAGTAAGCATTTCAGTAAATTCCCAAAAGTTCAACTTCTAATTGCTATCTTAATGACTTAGAAACATATTATCAATAATTACTCATTTATACTTTGCAATTTCATGACATTAAGGAAAGATTAAATAATAATAATCAAAAAATAAATATCAATAATAATAAATCAACTTTATTAAGTTGATTTGATGGTTTAATTACCTTTTACTTTCAGAATACTGTGGAATCTTTTTATTGTTATTAGGATCACTTATGACAACACTGTAATAAAAATTTGTTTGCTTTATATTAAAATTTATTTTCAAAATTACATATATTCTAATGCTATTTTATATTAGATATGAAAGCAAGTCAATGAAAAATGAAAAATAAAATGCTATATTAAATATTTGATTAAAAAACTAGTGTATAAATAACAGGATTTTATTATTATTTTTTAAAATTAAAAATAAACTTTTAAAGAAGTAAATAAAAATATGATGATTAAATAATATATACTGTAATAATAGGAAGGTCCGGTCGCTGAAGTTTATCCTGAAATTTTAACAGAAATAAAAGGTTAAAAGAAAATAAAGGAAATAAAAGGACCAAAGTTTTAACAAAAATTTTTGGAGATGACTGTCTTTTTATTTATTGGAAATTTTTACATCCAGCAAAATTTTAAAAATAGAAAATATATACTGTATTTGGGAATTCAACAATATCAACTCAAGCCAACTTGTATTATAATATACTTTTATTTGTTTGATATAGAAGTGGTTAAAGATTGATCTGAATAGCAATCTAACTCAAGATAATTGTACAGTGATACCTCAGGTTACGAACGCCCCAGCATACGAAATTTTCAGGATACGACATGAAATTCGAACATATTTTTGCTCCACGATACGAACAAAAACTCACCATACGACGTTACATTAGTTAGCATTTTTCATTTGTTTTTCTTACTACAGTTATTTTTTTAAATGTATTACTTGGCTTTAATTTGAGTATGTTTTTCGCGTTGGAACGAATTATTTGGTTTTACATGTAATTGTATGGGAAAAGATGATCCACCTTATGACATTTTCATGATACGATCTCAGTTTCGGAACGGATTAATTTCGTATCCTGAGGTACCACTGTATAATTGATCTGTTGTTTTTGTATAGCAGAAAAATTATATTTGTATATGAAAATTATGAATATTGTATGGTATTTTCTAAATTAAAATTTGTTTTAAATTACATTTTGAAGAATTTTTAAGTTGAGAAACATTTACAGAGTTACATATGTTTAAGTAATTGATCAGTATTAAAATAATATATGAATTTCATCAATGCTGGATGAAAGTTTAACACATTTAGACAAATAAAATTTGTTTCTGTAAATTTTTTTCAATTTTAATGATTTGATCTAAATTTACTAAATTGATTCATCAAAATTGATAACATTTACTTTGATGAATAGTACTATTTAAAGTAGGTGTGATAAAAAATATTTTAATATTGAATAAATACATAGAAAATTTTATAAAAGTTATAGAAATATTTGTATCATTTCTGTATATTCAAATAAAATAAAATAAAATAAAATTAGAAATAGAAAAAACTGTTTTATAGATTCATGATTCTACTTACTTTGTTTTTCGCTGAACTGGAGAATCACAGGAAACACAGCGACTAAAATTAATACCAGTAATTTTATATTAAAAATAAATAAACAAGATTAAATAAAAGTATTATTATTACATTAAAATTACATTTTAATTCCAGCAGCAAGTGGCCTTTCTTCAACTGTTCTCTTCAAATGTCTTAACTTTGATGCTAATAATTGTAACTGTTCTTTTAAATTTACTTGAAAAATTTCCATTTCTTTTCTCTCAAATTTATCTTCCATTAAATCACTTAAATTTTTAAAAGCGTTAACAACTTCCTCTTCCTGACAAAATTATTTGAGGTTTAGAAGTAAATTTACAAAATAAAATAAATAAATTAAAATACCTGATCAGCTAATTTCGTTTTCAAATTGCTAATATCAGATATAAGTTTTTCATAGTGATATTCATAAATAGATTTATCAAGTTTATCCTCAACTTGTGTTCTGTCACATTTCTAAATATCCAAATAAATTTTAAGAGTTAAAATTTATCAGTTTTTATCTTTAATATCAACAATACTTAAATACTTTTTACTTACTCTATCTAGTCCATCAAACATTTCAAATCTATCTGCTTTATTCATTTTGATATCTTCCAAATGAGTGTGGATTTCCTATTAGAAACTTCTTTTACTTAAATTATATATAAAAATCATAGTGTAATTTATTATGATAATATTTTATATAACAAAAATTCAGGTAAAATTTCATCTTTTATTACCAGAAACATTTCCAAGCATTCCTAGATGACTTTAAAATAACAAAATGTACTAACAACTTAAATCAAATAGATTAAATTAAAAGTGTTATTTCTTTTTTAAATTTGGAATTAGTTCATTCAGTAAACAGTGAAGATGGATGGAATTCTTTGAGAATGAAAGAAAAAAATTTTAAGACAGGCGAAGTTAGTCAATGTTTATTGAATGAAGAAGTCTCAGGTAAAAAAAAATTTAATTAAAATTTTATTTGTTAAAACTGGAAACTGTATTTTATTGTTCTAAACAAGTAGAAACAAAAGTTATCTTTCTCTTGCAGTATTTGTAAAATAATAATCCTTCGAGAGAGTGAGTTTTTAGCATTTTTTATACAAGAAATATAATAATATAATGCAGATAGAATATAAGAGAGTATAATTACCTCTATTAAAGAAAACTTTTCTAACTCCATAAATGTTTTTTCAAGTTTGTTTTTAATATCAAAGACATTCTTTTTACCCTGAAATCAAAATCAGTTGATACATAAATCCATTAGAATTATTGATTTTAAATAATTTGTTTTTAAATTGATAATTTAAAAAAACAATTTTACTTAATTTTAATTGCTAAAGAGAAAACATAAATGTGAATGAGCAATTATTTATTGTGACATTGTCACAATGCCAGATTGCAATTTTTAATCATATTTTTAAATAATTTAATTTCAAATATACCCTCTCCAATTTAAAATACATATATATGGCTTACTCCTGTACATCATACTTTTCCTTAAAAAATAGTGCGTGCCAATCATCTATTATATCTAATAACTTTCAGGGGAAAATTTTTAAGTTGAAATAACGTGACTTCCGGTTTGCATCAGAAGTTCGTATATAGTTAGTTAAACGGGGCTTCCTGTCCCTAACCTTTCCATATCGGATCTCAGCTTTCATCTATCTTACTTCGTTCTCGAGATTAAAGAAAGACGGACAGACGACAGTGAGAATTTATAGGTTTACAATTTTTTTTTTTTTTTCAAATTGCAGCCTAATAAAATTTAAGAAAAATCCTTTTTGACGTCAGTAAATATAGTATAACAAACCAGTTCCTTACAGAAAGTCCTTCCAGGAGGTACTCCTCCTCGACATATCACCTAAGTATTATGCTATCGCCTTCCATTAATACATTTCTCAGCACTCCAATGTGCTGCGGCGTCCCGATTGAAAGCTATTAGCCTAGATACTACGGCCAGATGGCCGAGCGGTCAAGGTGGCAGCCTACCGTTCTGGGGGACCAGGGGTCGAATAATCCCCAGAATTTTTTCGGGGTGGTCCGTCCGGATATGTCGGGCCCCGTCCCTCACCACCTGGTCTCCCTATTGTGGGTCTGGCCGCACTCATAATAGGCTTGCAAAAAGAGCCCCTCTTAGTGCCCACAGGGCGGAAAGAGTTCAAAAAGAAAAAAAAAGCCTAGATACTTATGCAATCATTTTACTGACATTTTATTCTGATGTTCCTGAATATAGAACAAAATTTTATTATACGGAATCGAATATACTGTACTACAAGAGAAAAATACGTGATATATGCAAGCCAGGGTATTGACTAAGATGAATAACATGAGGGACGAGAGCTGGGGATTTCTCTCTGGCCCTGAGAAAACGTAAGGGTCCATAGTAATACTTATCCGTAAATTAATAGTTACCATTTTTACTGACAAAAACTAAAATCTTTAAAACTACTATTTGTTTATATTCATACAGGTTCTTGATGACCTTGAGTAGTATTCAGTAATTTTCTTAAATGGAATGTCAAACTAGAAAATCACGATTTGTGAACTTAAGAGAAATTTAGTGACACTAGGAGTGAATTAACATAACTGTTTGTCATTCGTGAAAACGTGAAAAAACATCTGCGGATAAAAACCCCGCGTAAAACAAGACTGTATTGTATTTTAAATAGTAACTGTATTTAACCTCTTCAGCCATATTATCCTGGATTTTCGCAATTTCGACAATAGCTTCTTTTAATTTTGTTATTCTTTCATCATAAGCCGTTAACAGTTCTTCTACATTAATTATTTTCTCCTTTGAGTTGGCCATAAATGATATTAACTTATTGAGAACTTCTTCTTTTGCTGCCATTTTTTCCTCGTATGACATAATTTCTTCCTCGCGATTTTTAAGCATTTCTCGATTCGATTCTTCCAGCTTTTCGATTTTCTCTTCAGTATTTTGTAACTATATATAACTTGTGTTAATTAGCATTTACGTTTAAAAACTTATTTTTAATATATTTTAAAATTATTTAAAATTTTACTCTTGTTTTAAACTCTTCAAATTCTGTAGCATTTTCCATTGCATGTGACATTTCAGGCGCAATTTCGGAATTTAGTTTACCTTCATGCATTTATTTAAAAAATATATAATGATTTATTTGAAAAAATTCAAAAACTTTATGCTAATTTATAAGAAAATTGATAGTTACATGGTGAAAGTGTCGAAGATTTTGCTTTTTTCCGTGGAACCTAGAAGATTATTACATTAATATGATTTACTAAAATGTATTTTCTTCGTGAAGTTCTCATTAACTAACCTTTAAAATAGTTCTAATCTCGGATATATCAAAGAGAATATCGGACATTTTATAGTCTCCTTCTAGCTGTAAATAATGAATAATATAGAAAACTCGTAAAATATTTTAATTTTAAAACTTATTAATAGTTTGAAAATTTTTTATGATGGTCTAAATCTTATAAATTAAGTAGGAGTCAATATTATTTCAGATCGGAACATCATTTTCTATCTCTTATCATGCTGTCAGATTTTAGGGCAGATTAGGCCTGCCTGTAATAATCAAACCTTATATCAGTTTTACTATACAGGGTAGTCTTGTCTGTTATAGTTTTAGGGCAGGGTGGCCAACAGTTTTTGCCCCTGGGCCGGATTGGAAATAAAATTTTTTTCACGGGCCGAACCAGAGGTTGCTCTACGAAGATTTTGAGGTAGTGCGAGATCTCATTGCGGTGTCATCCCGTAGAGACTGAATTGTAGATAGAGATTACAGATACATTTCTCACATTATCATGCTTTATCAATACTACGCTGTACTTAAGAGATTTGTAATGGAGGGTTAACTCTAAACGCACAGTGAGTTGTTGACCTTGTTTTTTTTTTAGGCGTGAGAATTTTTCATCGAGCTATTTTGAAAGATTGAACGCGGGCCACATAAATTTGTTAGACGGGCCGTATGTTGGCCATGCCTGATTTTAGGGTCTAAAAGTCGACGCCTGGGATCCAGGCCGTCGTACCAGGAATATGTATAATAAAATTTTAATTATAAAATGCAGAAAACTATGTAATTTCAAATGCATAAAGGAAGTAAAAATTGCAATAAACCGAGAACATCAAATTAGGAGAGAGAAAGAGATCCTAGCCCAGGATCTTTAGCACTTTATTTAAACCAGTGTTTCTCAACGGGGGCGATATCGCCCCCGTTGAGAAACACTGATTTACGAAACGCCCACATGGGCGTTTTTCCATGTTCAGGAGGCGATTTTCAACAAACAATTTATGTTTTGGGGGCGAAAAACAATTTTCTGGGCGATATAGTAAAACATTATATTAAGAATAATTAGATATTTTATTCGTTATATCGTACAATAATAAACAAATAACATTATACTAGTCACTAGTCTATTCAATGGCGACGATTCGTTAGAGGTTGAGAAACACTGATTTAAACTTTAAAATTGTTGAGCTTTCTTGCTTGTTGCGTACCTCGCTTTTTAAGTGGTCGTTTTTCTCGCTGCTAACAAACGTAACGAAGGTACCAATTTAGATCGTGGGATAGGTCAAAATCGACGTTTAATTCGATCCTAACCGGAAATGATTGATCTTAGGACTTACATTCTTCTATTGTTTATACGTTCGTGTCACGTTTTTCATACCAAAAATTTTTTTTAACTTCTTTCTTCTTTTTCTTTAAAAATATTTTAAAGTGAATTTTAGTGAGAATTCACACCTGTCCAGAACTTTATAATATTGTAATGAATTTAAAAAAAATTCTTCACAACAACTCCATTCCACGTGCAGAATTTGATTAATATTGAATGTTAGTTTTAAAGTGCGTCGACTGTTTTTACAAAAGAATGTATATCTGCTTTAGCCTGTACAATTTCCGTTAGTTAATCATAATAGCACGATTTAAATTTTGGAATTTTTCTGTTAAATCTTTATAATCGAGTCTCGAATTTAATTAATTATTTTTCGTTTTAAGATAAGCAATGTCAATATAAATATTTTAAAAGATAGTCTATTATTTTTAATCAGCTCTATATACAAAATAATTATAGTACTCTATATCTATACTAATATAATAAAGAGGTAATGTTTGTATGTAAGTTTGGATGCAGCAGGTAATCTCCAAAACTACTCATCCGATTTCAAAAATTTTTTCACCAATATTTAGAATGGAACTTCAGGGTGGACATAGGCTGTATATTATTCCGTTAAACATGGGGGATGGACAGTTCTTTACGGTAAGCCTTACGGGGAAGGCTTACCGTAAAGAACTCTGCTTCTATTTATACTATTTTAGATGCGGTTTTTTGCATTTTTGATTGCATTTTAATAGGGTACGTCAACAGAATGTACACTAAGAAGGGATTTTTCGATATTCCCCCCGGGGGGGAGAGGGACAGGATTAAGGCTTACTGTGAAGAACTTCACTTCTATTATACTATTTTAGATGCGGTTTTTTGCGTTTTTGATTGCGTTTTAATAGAGTACGTCATCAGAATGTACAGTAAGAAGGGATTTTTCGACATTCCCCCGCGGGGGAGAGGGACAGGATTAAGGCTTACTGTGAAAAACTTGGTTTCTATTATACTATTTTAGATGCGGGTTTTTGCATTTTTGATTGCGTTTTAATAGGGTACGTCAAGAGAATGTACACTAAGAAGAAATTTTTCGAAAAATTTTCTCCTAGGGGGAAGTGTTATACATTTATAATAGATACATTTTGAGCCACAACAAGGCGTGGCGGGGTCTGCTAGTACTATATACTCTTTTTAATATAGATAGGTCAGTCTATAAATAAACTTTTTTGTGAATTTAAAGTTTTTACAATTTTACGTTATATAAGTATATAATATATAAAGTACAGTATATAATTTAGGTGTTAAAATTAAAGAATTATTTCTTTTCATTCTGACATTAGTTTATCCTGAAAGGCGTTCCCCGGTTTCAAATTTGAAATCCTAGATATAAAAGTAACGACACACTTTTTCGTGGCTGTTGTCGACAATTGTTATCTGTAATTGATCGAGAGAGTCGAAAATTGTGCCATGTTATCATATAACATGATGCAATTTTTGCAACATATTGATACTTAAATAACGTTAAACTTATATACAAGCAACAATGAGCTTTATCTAGCATTTGACCAGAAAATTACGCCAACTTATATGATAAAATGGCGCAATTTTTGGTTCGAAGTAACAATTCCGAGCTGCAATTTTCTTCACAGTGCTTTCAATTTTAATAGTGTTTTTACTCTGTACATTATACAGTACTTTTCTTGTTAACAATGGAGCCATACCGATCATCTAACTCCGTTCATGAAAAAATTTTTGAATTGAAATAACGTGACTTCTCCAAACCGGAAGTACGTATATAGTTAATCGCGGCATCCTGCCCTAAGCTTTCCACATCTGGACTTTCATCTATCTACTGTTCTGGAGCTTAAGGAAGGATAAGCAAACAGACAGAGGAAATTTATAGGTCTACAATTTTTCAAAATTTCAATCAAGTTTATCTGTTTTCAAACAAGCCCAATCAAATTTATCTGTTTTATTAAATTGAAAAGCAATATAATGAATTTATATTTTAATAATAATAAAATTATTATAGAGGAATTAATGTGTTTATTTGTTTTCTTTATGTAACAACAAATAATAATTTTAAATTATGTCTATTATTTTGATAAAACTTTTACATTGCATAATCACAATAGAAAAGAACGTGTGTGAAGTGTTATGTTTTGCAACTTCGTGGAACTTATGTTACGTGTGAAGAAACACAGAGCCTGTATTTAAGCAGTGTTGTCATGGTGGAAAATGTTCTAAAGATACTGTATATTTGTTTAACACAAACCAATTTTTCAAAGAAATATTATTATTATTATAAACTCTTATTGTATTCCACTGAATTAAATTAGAATTTTCAGTTTTTTTAATTATAATTTCAAATATACAATATATACATAAATAGAATTTGAAATATATAGTAATTTAATGTGTACAAAATTGACAAGTGATAAATATATTAATAACAATAGCATGAATATTAACATTTAATGCTTTTAATTAAGCAAAATATTTTCAGTTTTTACAATCGATAATAATTTTAAAACTGAAAGATTGAGTTATTATATCGTCATAATGCCGGACTACAATTTTTAATAATAATTTTTAAAATCATGTGACTTTCCGTCTAGCCCGGAAATTCGTATATGGTTAATTGGGGCTTTCGGTCCTAAGCTTACCATATCCTGTCTCGATTTTCATATATCTAACTCCGTTCTCAAGATTAAGGAAAGACAGACAGAAGAACGACAGTGGGAATCTATAAGTCTGCAATTTGAAAATTGCAGCCTAATAATATGATAAAGTTGCTATAATTAGAGTTCATTATATTTTAAGCAGCTTAATTATGTTGAGATAGCATACTGTATTACAATTTACGTATTTTGCTCTTCAGCTTTATTCTACTGTGAGATGCTGGAAAGCATCGTCGCCCCTAAATTAACGTATATTCAACAAAATATTTGATAAAATATCAGCAATATATATTTCCAGTTTTCGTTTGATTAGAAAGGACCTTAAATTTTACTTTATTTTATTTGCACTTATTTCTGTTACCAAAATTGCAAATATTTCACAATTTAAGCCGAAGTATTGTTTCACTTAAGATTCATTAATTAATACACCCCCTTTTAATCATTTAATTTTCAGTAATAAAGTTGTAATTTATTTTTGACGTTAAAATTGATTTATTTCAAACGATTTTCTAAATGAAAAATACTTTTTAGAGAAAATATTGCGTTTCACAAACTGTAAGCATAGTGAGTCCTTGAACAGAAAATGACGTCTTACAAAATGAAGTGTCGTTACTTTTATATCTATTTTTACGGTTTTATCAAATTAAAATTATGCTTCTGGCATAGGCATTCGCAGTGAGTTGGATTCGTGTTATTTATTTTTCCATTGTATTCCGATTTATTGAAAATCTGTACATTTAAAATTCAATGTAACAAATTCGAGCGATTACAAAATTATTGTTATACTAAAATATCGTAAAATTGAAATTTCATTATATATTATGTAATTTTTACACTTTCTCTGATTCGCGGACACTAAAAGAGCCTTTCTTATTGCCTGTCGTCGTGAATTTGGCAGGCCCACAATGAGAATGACCAGTCTGTGGGAGATGAAGTAAATACTGTGTACAGTATCAGTTAGCTTAGATAATTTACAGTTACAGATACAGTTAATTTACTTTTTAGTGGAACTAAAAAGTAAATTAACTGTTCAGTTGACGGTTAATTTACTGTTTAACTGCTCTGGGAGAGCCAGGATCGAATCAACGCAGGGCGAGCAACCCCAGGAATTTTTCGGGGGTGGGCTATAACGGTTACATCGGATCCTGTCTCTCGCCACCCAACCGTCCACATTGCAGGCCTGGCCGAATTGCGGGCATGGAAAAAGAGGCCGTCTTAGTGCCGACAGAGCGGAGAGTCAAATATGAAAAAATAAGTATTGAAATACAAGAAAACATTTTTTAATTATTTTCTGTAGGTTCATTATATTTAAAACTTTTATATGAAAATAATTAATAAATAATAAATTAGATCTTTAATTAAAGAGTAAATGATAGAATTGTCAATATCCAATTAATGGGATAAGGATTTTTTCAACTCATTAAGATTGGATTGGGTTGATGGGATAAGGCAATGCAACACATAGTTGATCTGACAAAGAGAATCCTTACGGTAAAGAAAACCCGAAGAACTCTATGCAGCCAGCCCTTTGATTAGGCGCGAACCTTCCACTACCAGTGTTCAGTGAATGGCGTTATCCAATCCGCCTTTTGGGATTTTAATATATTAAAATAAATGTTTTAATATTTATTTTCATTAAAGAAAAAATATGTGCATCTAAGAACAGAAAAATAACCTGATCCATAGAAATTTAAATAGAAATCAGCAAAAATGATTGTGACATCTTCACAATGCCGGGATGCAATTTTTAATCATATTTTTAACTTATTTAATTTAAAATATATCCTCTCAATCTCAGATTAGTAGTGTCTTGTCCCTGTACATCATACTTTTCCTGATAACAAAGAGTCGTGCCCGGTCATATACGTAACTCCATTCTGGGAAAAATTTTTGAATTGAAATCATATGCCTTCCGGTCTAACCCGAAAGTTCGTTTATTGTTAATCGCGGCCTCCTACTTCTGAGCTTTCCACATGTGTTCTCTACTTTTCTCTATCTAACACTGTTCTAGATATTAAGGAAGGACAGATATGCAACCTGACGACAGTGGTAATTCTAATTTATAATTCTACAGTTTCTTTCAAATTGCAGCACAGTCATAATAAATAATTTGTATATTTTAAAAAATTATAATATATATTTAATTTATGAAATTTTATATATTAAATAAAGCAGTTTACGATTATACACATTTACATTGTTAATGTCAGGAAATTTAAAATTTTAAAATAAATTAATTTCACTTACTTTTTTAGAAAGCACATTGAATCTTTCATCAGCTGACTGTATTAAATTATAAATCTCATTTGTGTTTTGTAAATGTGCATCGCGCAATTCTTCAAAATTCTCTTTCATTACAAAATATTGCACTTTCTCAACTATTTCATTCTAAATTAAAACAGAAAAACTTATACAATTTATGTTTTTATACATTAAATTTTATTCATACTCCGATCAATATTCCATTTTATATCATATTTTAGCATTAGTTTCCATCGAATTAATATTAAAATATATTAGTGAATAAACATAACTACTTAAGCATAAAAGAGTTAAATTCTACAGCTTTAGTTGAATTATTTAAATTTGATTGCTTTTTTCATTTTTGACTCTTTCTGACTTCTAGGAAATAAGACCTTTTACTCTTACTCATTATGAGTTCGGCCAGGCTCACAATTGGGCAGTAGAGTGGTGAAGGACGGGCCCGACGTATCCGGGAAGACCCCCAAAAAATTTCCTAGTTTTTCGATCAGCCCGGATTCAATCCCGACTCGCCCAGAATGGTAGTTGATACGTTAACAGCCTCGGAAATCGGGAAGAATTGAATGTGTTACTCAACTTATTGCTTTTTTTATTTACTTTTCCGACTGTTATATATAACAGAGAGAAAGCATTTCGGTCGATCAAAAAATCACTCTCCAAGATTTTTACATTTTTGGGCCCAGGACTTCGAATCATCGAGAAATGCAAAAAACAATTTGGAGATTTTTCTGTATGTATTGATGCTACTGTTTGTGTAGGGGCACAATTTTGTTCACTCAATTTGAAGCTTAATTATTCTTGTGCTTTTTGTCAGAAATTTCTGAAATTTTCCAGGGAGGTTTGTGTATTAGGGTGATTGACGCTAGTAAATTTTGGTGGTTAATGGTCAAGGATGAGAAAATAGAGGGGATCACGTGTCATATTTCGAGGGAGATAGACTTAATGAAGATTTTACTCGTTATTAGCATTTACAATTTTTTAAATGAAATTCATCTCTACCCCCAAAATTAAACTTTTTGTCATTTTATAATAATTAATTACCGTATATAAAAAGTTTTTAAAATAAAATCTCATAACAGATGAACACCGCGCACAATTTTTAACTATTGTCCAGAAAGTTACACAACTTGTTGCTGGATTTCTTTAATTCATTTTCATTATTTTAATTATAAATTGTATTTAAGTGAGATGCAAATATTTGTTATTAATCTACGTCATACATTAATATAACTTATTAGTTATTTTAAATAAATAACAGACATTCTTGGATTTACCAACCTGTGACTGATAAAGCTTATCAAAATTTAATTGTAGCAGTACTTTAGATTCATTCTATATAAGTAGAAAATAACATTTTATGTAAATAAAATAGGATAAATATTAATCAGATATTTAAAAATCATTTTACGTCTTTTTCGCATCTTCTTTTTATATCTTTCTTGAAATGTTGAACGTCTCTTACATTCTCATCGATAATATCCACAATCTGAAAGATTTTATTATTTTTTCACTTAATAATTTTTGTTTTCAATAGTTATAAATAGTAAATGAACCTTTTCAAGTCCATCTTCGAGTGCAGTTACTCTACTATTTAAAGACATTGCTTTCCAAAAATCATTGATATCATTTTCAACTAATTTTTTATCCTTTATGGAAGTCGATAATTCACTGGAGCTTTCTAAATCCGATGAATCCTTAGTACTATTGCTTTCTGCATCTTCTCTAGAATCTTTATATTTTGCTGTTAAATATGTACATACATTTCTAGGGGTTTTAACTGTGTCTTTAAAATTGTTTTGCGAGGCCATTTCGCTCGCTGCTTCGACGGAATTTATTTGATTGAGAACTTCCGATTCTGCACGATCTGCTAAATCTAAAGATATTGATTCTACAATTTCAGATGATCTTCGCGGTAGTTCAGGCATTTGAAACTTTTGTGGTTTTATATCAACGAGATTGACTTTTGCACATAATTTCTCTAATCCTACTTCTTTAATTAAAATATGTAGGACAGTTTTTAAAATTTGAAAATTAACCATTCCTGCATCAGGTGTGCTTAAAGCCAACTCTACTAGCTCTGGAAGAGGTAAAGTCTGAATCGTCATCGTTTCGATTCTCTAACAAAATTTACAAAGGAAGATATTTCTCTATACGATATTTTCCAAAGTGACAGCTAATATTCAGTAAATGTTATATGAATTAAGAACAACAATGATTTTATAATTTATTATTTTATCATTGAATAATGTAAAACGTAATAATAATTTGTAATCTGTATTAGATAATAGAGAGGTTGCAGCCGAAGTTTTCATCTGTAAAACGTGAACGTCGACGTTCACGTTTTACAGATGGAAACTTCGTCCGTAACCTCGCTATTATTTATTGCATTAATTTAACTGTATATTTTGATTTTTAAGAAATGCATCAAAATCATATCATTCTTAAACATATTATCACAAATGGTTTAACTTTGAACCAAACCTGAAATGCATTTCTATGTTTTTCGATTTTTTTATTGGTCTAAAATAATTGTTTAACGCGAAGTTTATAAATAACAATAGAAAAAAGCTATATTTAATTATTAAACTATTAGTTCGTCCATAAACCACGTGGACCGTTTTAGTTAAAGTTTAATCATTACTTCATCCTTTGATATTAAACGAAATAGATGGTAATACATACACATACATATCCAGGGAATTATTCCTTGTTTGAGTTTTTTGGATTTAAAGGTCTCAAAACATGGAGATTCGTAAAACTCGGAGTGTCAGATTTGACACGATTCCAATAGTATCTCTTGTTATGGATATGTTATGGACAAAGTGATTAATAATGACCAAATAGGGCGGGCAGTGTGATAAATATTGATTAATTTATCAAATTGACCGGTCATTATGAATACTGCTATCACCTAGTCGGGCAAAGTGATAATAATAAGTTGAGGAGTGATCATCTGACATACTCTAGCCAATCGGCACGCTGTGTTGCGTGTGCGTATCGTACAGCGTTTAGTACAGAATTTTAAACTTGATTAAAAAAACTCCACTTATTTCATTTATAAATATTTATTTTTTGTAAATTATATCAAAGTACTATTAACTATATTAATTAAACTAATATTAACGAAAAGTATTATTAACAATTTTTGGTATAAATTATATAAAAAATTAAATGCTTTTTAGTTTATTTATTTGAGCAATTAACATTTTCATGACATTTGGAATTACATAATTTTTTTTTCTTTGGTAGCATTTGCATCTATTAGATTTTCAACCAATTTTTCAGCAGCATTAACTATAGTTGTGGCCATCAGGAATTGATGACATTCTTGCACATTCTCTAAGCGAAATTTCTGCACCCGGTACATCTCCAACAGAAATAAAGTTTTCTTTACAAACAGTAAATTGGTTTCTGGAATATAATAGATTTAATATGCCATGTTTGGTACCCAGTTTGTAAAGGTTTTTATCTTTAACCGCAACAACGACACCTAAAATATTTTTTCCATCACTGCGGGCTCGATCTTCATCAGGTACACGAATCCTTACTGTATCACCAACAATAGCTGCTGTGTATTTGGAATTTGATGTATTAATCATTTTTTCTGCTTGCTTTTTAAGATTAAACAAAGCCCTTGTTTTAGACACACTTCTTATTTTTTCTTCTTTTTTTGGATCAATTGTTTGGATTGTTTCTTCTTCATTCACCAATTCTGTAATACTAATAACATCCTGGTTTAGATTTTTTTCACGTGAAGACGATGTAGATCTTTGAACTTCATCAGTTATATTGCTATGTAAGGGTGGCATTATCAGATAATATTTCATAATGTTTTCTTGGACGGTACCCGGACTTTCAGAGTTTGAGCAACTTTGACTTACTTCGTTGATAGTTTTAAAATGTCTCTGTAGATCCTCTTCCGTATTAGCGTTGAACAACGATTCGTTGGGTATAAAATTCTTTAGTCCAACTTTTAACTTTGCTCCAAACATGGCTTCATAGCGGCTGCAGTTTATACCAGTATGATGCACTCGATTTTTCATCAGTAGTACAAAACGTAATCCTTCCGACCATTTGTTAGTATTGTTAATCTCCAATCAAGAACTAAGCATATTTTCTACGTCTTGATTACATCTTTCTAAAGAACCCTGACTTTGTGAGTGCCTCGGCTTTCCATGCACCATTTTTAACTCGGACCGCATATTACACATTTGTTTGATGATATTATTGGCGAATTCTCTGCCATTATCGCTTTGTAGAATACTTGGTGCACCGAAAATTGTAAAAATATCTAAAAGATCATATGCTACTTCTTCAGCCCTTTTGGTTTTTAACTCGTCTAATCGGTTGTTGAAGCGATTATTCATATCACTTAATGATTCCTTCATGATCGTTACTTTTGTCAAAGAAGAAAGATTAACTACTGATCACATAAATTTAAATTTAAAGTTCGGTACTAAATGCAATACGCGTGAGCAAGTAAGATGTAAGTTCTGATTGGCTAACGTATGCCGGATGATCACTCCTCAACGTATTATTATCACTTTGCCCAACTAGGTGGTAGCAGTATTCATGATGACCGGTCAATTTGATAAATTATTGAAATTTATTACAATTCCCGATTTTGTTGTTCATTATTCATAATGCCCGTATTAATCACTTTGTCCATAACATATACATAACTGCGGAGAAAGTTAAATGGGACATTATTTTATAAATATTCTATTATTAAATCATTAGGCTTATATTAATTAATAGATTAAAAGTAATCTCAAAACGTAAAGTTACGTGATAGCTTTCACTACTTCATGCCATATGATAGCTGATTGACCAATACAGTAGACCCCCCTATAACGCGGGTTCATATAATGCGGATTCCTATATCGCAGCGAAAAAATTGCGACCGTATTCGTATTAAGACGCTAACAGAGACTCGTAAAATACGGTAAAATGTCATTTCCGACTCGTGTCGCGATAGGATTGGTCGAATCTGGACCAATAGTGGACGATCAGCCGAACTACTTACACGCTATGGAGCGTTTAGGCGGGTAAGTTGAGTTTACTATCGTCTGTACAGTATATAGGCCTAAATTAGGTACTGTAAGTCTAATACAGTACTGTAATTTTATACATTTCTTGTGAAAAAAACATTTCTTATTCAACGGCCATAAAAATTACTTCTATTAATGATGTCTCGAAAGTTCAACGAATTTTTCGCAGAAAAATAACTTATCAGAAAACGCGCCCGCCGTTTGGTGCGCTGCTCCGCGATGAAAACAAGCTTAAGCAATGGCGTTGTCGAACGGTGCACACTCGGTAAGTAATCCTACAATTTTTTGTTTATAGCATAGTTTATACA